CTGAGTGTAGCAGTATGTATACCCATGGTGTAACAGTCAAGTTATGAACATAGATACAGTTGAAGTGCAGCCCCGCCACAAAACGAAACAAAATATAAAACACACACATTCAAAGTGTCATTACTGACTACGACTATAAACAAAATCATGCAATTAACTAGAAGCTAAGTAACTTGAGCAAGAAAAGCAACAGGTTGAAACTTAAAAAGGTGATTCAAATTTATTCTAACCTTTACAAAAGCCTTTTTCTTGTAGTACTTCTCCCCGAGTTTCTTCGTGACCACTTTTACTACAATGCCTTTATGTAACCAGTAGTCTTTCCTGTTCATCTTCTCCTTCTTCTTCTCTTCAAACTGAAATAGTCAGAGATAAAAATATCAGGTACATCTAACAAAACATCAGATGTAATTTCCAACTGTTGGGCAAGTCTCTATACATTTCTACAAATAAACATGATGTGTGTTTACCAAAAGAAAAAGAAGTTAAATGAGTAGCTTTTAATAAAACCTAATATTAATTTGACACTTTTGGGAACAACAGTATCAAGTTGTTTACTACTGGCTTGGCTAAGAGGAATCTGCACTTATATAATTAGCTCAATCCTAACAACATGTACACTGGGCAGGAATATTGACAGTCTCAGGTTTGAGTCCTATTGAATCACAAAATTGTCTTCTGTTTCATCAATTACCGGTATATATAAATTACAGAAAAACCTAATATAGTATGTCAATCACTTCATTTGCCACCTCGCGTACAACGTATTTCAATGTACCTTTTTCTTGTTTCCTTTAAAATTCCTTTCAACTATTCCTTCATTATATCGCCAACTTCCATTATAATGTCTGGACAAATAGTGGCAGTATAAGAAGGTTTAACTGTGTGTTACTTACCTATATCTATCTAATAAACAATTCTGCTGCTCTTTTACATTAACATTGCACTATTGAAAAAAAAGGTTGACCTCTGTACAGTTAGATAAAAATGACTGTGAAACTTCTGTTAATGATCTATATGTCAGCCAAGGTCGAAAATTGTTTGTTTGCAATTTACCGACTGACTCGCCAAAAATAACATCTACTCAATCTATATTTTTGCAACTTTTGGTTAAACATTATTTTCTTGATGGAAAATTACTGACACTAGATTTTTAAACAAAAATATGAGAATAGGGAATCTGCAAACAACTTTTTTTCAAGGATGGCCCAAGTTAGGTATATATAGTATACCTCCATAATTTCATCGAGGGCTGATTTACGTTTCTGTCCCGCCAGACCTGGTTTTGTAGCTTCCCTCTTTTGACTGGACGTGCTGCTCTCCCCTTTACTAGACCCAGAGCTATCTGGGGGTATTGTGAACAGGTTATCTGTACTGATCCTGAAAGAGGAAACATGAAAGTTGAGTATCAGGGTTAAAAATCTACCTTCCATGGTGAAATGTGTCTTTATATCTCACAGTTCTCTGTGTTTAATGGTTTTAGTGTCTTATCAGTCTCTATGATTAATGTTTTAGCATGATACTAATCAATGTGTTTCAATATCTTTACTAGTCCCTGTGATGAGTGTTTCAATATCTTTACTAGTCCCTGTGATGAGTGTTTCAGTATCTTTCTAGCCCCTGTAATGATTGTTTTAGTATTTTTTTTAGTATTTTTTTGGTACACTATACATATGTATTATGTTTTATGATATGAGATATATATCTTCCACCTTTTCATCTGACAGATATACATTACCTAATTAATACAGATATTTTATGTAAATACTAAAGTTCTATAAAACTACAGATAATGTTTCTGTCTTTTAATCAGGAATTAATTATAAGTAGCTGGATTGTTTCAGACGATTAAGTGACTTACTTGACTTTTTCCTCTTTTTTCTTAACTAAACTGGAAAGACTCATGGTTACTGAAAGAAATATAGACATGAAATCACTACAAAATATCAAACATAATCAAGACTTTAGCTATTCAATGAAATGTTGATATGACTCAAAACTGTAAAAAGTATCTAGAAGTATCACCCATAAATAAAAACCTAAATTGAAATGTTATTTGTTGTCATTTGTCCTAAAACAGTTATATTTGATTTATTATAGCCAATTTCATAAATACATATAACATTTGATATAGCGCCTTATCTAGCTAGAATAAGTCACTTTAAAGCACTTTACAGTACATAGATATATACAATTTATACAATCAATACAATTAACACATACATTGAATAATACGTTACTCGATACAATTAACACATACATTGAATAATACTTTACTCTATACAATTAACACATACATTGAATAATACGTTACTCTATACAATTAACACATACATTGAATAATACGTTCATCTATACAATTATACATGAAACATTAGAATGTCTTTACCTTTCTCTTCCTCATTCTCTCGTTTGAATTCTGTAAATTCTGCAGCTTTAGACGTTGTGTCTTTTTCTGCCGCACGTACGATCTGCTGCTGTATAAATTTTGAAGTCCTTTCTTCGTCTGTCAAATCCATCTTCTCCTTAGCTTTCACTTGTTCCTGCCTACGTATCGCCTCAGGGTTTCGGTCGATGTATGCCACAAACCATCCCTTTTCTGTTTCGTCAACTACACATTTTCCTGTATAAAGGGACACCACTCATATTGCATATCACCATATATATAAGCCATTTAATTTAAAACCAAGAAATCAAAACAAGCATCTAAGAACGAAACAAATATTATTATGTACTGCATTTGAAAAGAAATGTTGAGAATTTGAAAAATCACCCAAAGACTTAAAAAGAGCAAACAATGTTATCAAATTATTAAATGTACAAATACATGCTAAGTGTAACAATTTAAAGTGAACACATATATTCAATTGTTACACTAAAACATACAAAAAGGTATAT